GGATTATAGATGATTCTTTGTGAGAAATTTGAATACAGTTAGTCCTATTACATATTCTCTATGCCATCCATTGATTATATATACCCTACACTTTTTGAAGCAACTGTGATTTCAGGGAACATGGCTGGAGAAGGAGCTTAGTGGCCAAGACCCTCACAGTGATCCCTACACAAGTAAAGGGAAAGATAGTAGGAATGTAAGACAGAGATATATGTAGATAATGGAAAAAATGAAAGTAAGAAATTTTCAACATGATGTGATGGTACACACCTATAACACCAGCATCAAGAATGGTGAAGCAGGGCTATGAGCTTAGAACCAGCTCATCTCCAGAGAGAGACAGAGAGAGAGAGAGAGAGAGAGAGAGAGAGAGAGAGAGAGAGAGAGAGAGAGAGAGAGAGAGAGAAAATTTAAAGTTAAAATCAATATCAAGGTATAAGTAAGAAGAAATAATAATAATTCAAATTTACTGAAGACAAACCTTACTGAACCCACAAGATTAGAGTTTCAAGAACTTTAATTTTGTTTGTTTGTTTCATGCATATCTATGCAATTTTATGTTCATCATACTCTGCAGATGCTTGTTGGCTATAAAGGGTGTTGGATCATGTGGTGGTTTGATTGAGACCCACCTCAGGGGGCTCATATGTTTAAATAATGATCTCCAGTTGGTGGAATGGTTTGAGAAGGATTAGGGAGTGTGGCCTTGTTTGAATAAATGTGTCACTGGGGGTGGGCCATGAGATTTAAAAAGACTTGTGACTCCCTCTGTCTCATACTTGAATATTAAAATATAAGCTCTCTCAATTTATAGGTCTCCAGCTGGGCAGTCATTAGTTTATTACTCGCAATGTTTCTGTGCCATCTTTACCCCAGCTCTTCTTGTATGCAGGAAAAATTGTAAGTTGAATGGCTGTGATGGGGTTGGTGTCCCAATACCTACACTGGAATTCATGTCTAATTACAAGGAATGGCTGACTCCATAGCCCCCATTGCTAGAAGTCTTACCTGGGTCACATTCATCCTGGGATTTTTCACTGCTCTAGGTTTCTAACTTATCCTTGTGATGCTCCTAGATACCAGTTGGAGTGGCAAAAAATGTTAATGAAATGGTCCCTAATGATATTATGCTAATCTGCTAGAGTATATATACTTTCGCCAAGGCCATCAGCAGAGAGACTTCACCCAGCAACTGATAGGAACAGATGTACAGACCCACAGCTAAGAATTAGATATCGCTCAGGTAATCTTGCTGAAGAGGAGGAAGAAGAATTTTAGGAGCCAGACTGATCATGGACACCACAAGAAAACTCACAGAACCAACTAACCTGAACTCAGAGTTGCTCATGGATACTGAATCAACAAGTAGGGAGCCTGCATGAAACTGATCTAGTCCCTCTGCATATATGTTAACAATTATGTAATGCAGCCTTGTGAGACTCTAATAGTGAGACAGAAGATGTCACTGACCTTGACCTGATTTTGGGCCGCATTCCTTTTACTGTAATGCCTCATTCAGCCTTAATAGAAAAGGAGCATATTCTCATTGCAACTTGATATATCTTAACTACCTAATATCCATGGAAGAACCACTTGTTTCTGAAGAGAAAGAGTGGACGCGGAATGCATGAGCTAGGGATAAAGGGGAAATGGGAGAGAGGAATTTGGAAGAGGAGAGGGGGGTAAATGTTGATTGAGATATAAAAACAAAAAAATTAAACTACACAAATGAAGAATATAAACAAAATGAGAGCTTTCAGGTATTTGAATGAAAACACCTAAGTTCCACATTCATGGACTCTAACCCTTTGAGACTGTCAACCCAATTCAAATGTGCCCTCTTATTGTCTCAGGCACAGTTTCATATAACAGCAATGGAAAACAGAAGTTAGTACTGGCAAGCTCTGTATTGCTGTTTCAGGTGTAACCATGCAGCTTGTTGGAAGAGTGCGGAAGATGTTGGTACTTGGTACTAGGAAAGCAGTTGAATATTGTAAGCAGGCTTCCTTATAGTAGTTTGGAAGATAATAGGACTAAAAGCATTTTGGACAATGGAGATCCCACACAAAGAGTTTCGGAGGGAAATAATATTAGCAAATAGACTGGATTCTTTCTTGTAATGATCTGGCAAAGAATATGGTTGGCTTCGCCAGTGTCTTAAGAATCTACCTGAGACTAAATTGAAAAGTGAGGAACTAATATATAAAGTAAAGGAGATTACAAGACAGCCTAATATTGATTAGCAATCTTTTTTTGAATGTCTGTAATGAAAAACAGAATGTAGAACAAAAGAAAATGTAACATGTAGAGTTTGAGGAGAATAATATTACCCGGAAATTTAATGTTGGAGTCAAGGCTTGTGTTAAGATGAAAATATCTAAGTAAATCCTGATCTTCAATGGAATATAGGAAGGAGTGTTTTCAGGGAAACACCCACCCAACTAGTCTTTTAACCTGTAGAAAGGAAAGGCCTGAGGAATTGTCTGATCCTGAAAAGTAACAACAAATCAAAGCTGATATGAATTGATTCAAGGTTTCTAGGGTTTGCCTTGAGTTGATAATCAAACTTGAAAGTGCCACCCATGCGATTATGGTTTTAGAATAATAAAAGATACATGAAAAAAAGGACTTCTGAAATCTTCCTCTATGTTGATGTAGATGCACTGAGACCAGATGTGTGTCAGGGGAGTCCTTCAATGGAGACCCTGAAAGGTTGCTATCTGAAGCTGTGGTATATGCTAGAGATATTAAAGCCATGAACATCTACCAAGGAGAGCTATATACAAGAAGCAGAACCATCCCTAGAGAGAGAAGAATGTTGCAGGCCGAAAACATAGAAAGACAAACCATCAAAGCTCTTTCACTTCAGACATAGAGCTATATGATTTGGGATTTGCCCTGTTGGTTTGGATCTTCCTTTGATCTAGTGTTTTCATATCAAGTATCCATCCCTTCTTTTTGGAATGGTATGTTCTGTGTCATTTTATGCTGGCATTCAGTAATTTGAATTTTGGTTTCTACAGGGAGTGAAAACTGAGAGATTTCCTTGAGTCTCAGAAGAGAGTTCAGACTTTGAACTTTAGATGTTCTAATCTTGTTGAGACTTTAAAGTACTATGGGGATCTTTGAAGTTGAATAACATGCATTTTGCATTATGATATGCCCTCAAACCTATGGAAACTATGGAGTGGCATGTAGTAGTTTGAATGAGAATAGCTCCCATAAGAAAATTTGTTTGAACATTTGGTCAGATGGTAAAAATATTTAAGAAGTATTGGGAGGTGTGTCCTTGTTGGAAGAGGTGTGTCACTGCAGGTTAGGCACAATGGTTTTAAAAGACCCACAGCAGCATTTCCAGTAAGCTTTCAAGTGTTCCTGTCAATATGCCTGTACTCTGCTATCATGTACATTAACCCTCTGAAACCATAAGCCCAAAGGAAATACTTTATTTTTACTTTAGCTTCCCTGGTCATGTTGTCAACAACAAGGAAACTGATAAAGATCTCCTGGTATTTTTATTATAGGCAGTTGTAACAGACTCTGCCTATAGACTCTGACATGGGTGCTGGAAACCAATACTAGGTCTTCTACATGCTGAGTAAACTCTCTCCTAACTACTGAGAAATCTTTCTTTTTTAAATTTTTAATAAAATTAATTCTGTAATTATCCCAGGAGCAGGAGGCAGTACATATCAAATGAACCATGTAGCCCTAGCCTGGTGACACATTTATATCTACGAAACATTTTCAGGCAAAAATGTATTCATTTATTTTTTATTGGAACAAAACTGCACTTTTTCTGCTTTACTTACCACCATTTCCAAAAACATTTAGTATGGGACAAACTGTTCTTGAAGCTTCCTCCATGGTATCTGGTCTTGAGAAATCAGCGTTAGTAAGTAGATGCTTCATGTTGCTGAAAAACTCATCAATAAAGAGACTCTATAAAAGTAATTTATAACCAAGCCCTTGTAGTGCATCAAAACACTGTTTTAAAAAAAATGAGTCATAAGCTATATGAATGTGTGTGGTCAACTGACTGTAGGAAGTGAAAAAAATGAGGGTGATGTTCTGAAAATTAAGCCCAACAGTGCTCCAAAGTTTTCATGTATTTTTCAATTAACCTCTCTATACTAAATACGTTAGTTTATATGTTTACAACACAAACCTGTACACTGAAATACTCATAGACTGGATGTTAAAATCTAAGAAGTTTCATACTGATTTAATATGCAAAAATAATTCAGGCATAAATTGTAAAATAGAACACGCAGACATACTATGAAATCAAACTGAACTTTCTTCATAGTAAGAAATACCAGAAATGTTTTGATACAAATACTGTAAGTCAGCTGTGCTGTAATTATGCATCCGGAAAAAAATCATGCATTAGATAAATCTTTCCCCTGCAGACAAAAGGGCTTTTCAGTACTGGGGAAACAGAACTCTTTGATAAAATGTAAAGTTATCTATAAACAGTTTAAAAATATCATAAGATTTAAACATAATTGATGATAAAACATCCTCCAGCTTGTTTTACATTTATTACAAAAATATTTACATATAGCTGCAATGAATAAGTTCTTGAACTGAAGATAAGCATTATCAGAATCATTTTGTTTTGTTAACATTTTGATAAATAGAATGAAATCTTTTGCTATAATCAGAGCTATGCTGAAAAATGCTAGGAGCACATTGGTGTCCAATTATTTGGTAGGATGTTTCTTTCACAATAACCACTAAAATGGTAATCTGAAAAGCAGATTTTTTATCAGTGCATAAATTAACTTTTAGTTCTTTTTATATTAACACAACTTCTTTAAATGGACATAGGTTTACTTTGTATGCTATGCTTTCAATAAAATGCCTTAGTATTGAACCTAAGAGTTATGTCACGTGCAGATTCAACTTCTTTTCTAAGAATTTCTTGAGACTAAAAGAGGTGATATTAGAAGGAGTTTCCCCAAAATAGTTTGTGAAAGAAAAAAAATCAAGAAAAGGAGAAGAAAAGCAAATTCTTTATTTTTTCCAAATATATTAGACTCAATAATTTTGTTAGCATCAACAAAACTTTACCATGTATCATCCAAACCAGGACAGAATAGGAATTAAAGAGAGGGGTACTAGTAATTACATGAGAACGACAAGTATAAACTGCAATTTTCCTGGGCAGTCTGAATCCTGTAATCAACCTAGAAGTGAGATTAAACTGCAAGTACATGCAGAAAGCATACTTTTCCCACACTTATGCGGAAAAGGTAAAAGTGTACTATTCTCTTAAATTGGTTTATTACGGCCATACTGGTTCTTTTTGTCATCCAGATCCCAATACTAATGTTAACCAACCCCATACATGCATCCTTCTATGTACTCATCAGCTCACAGTCACTTTCGTTTCTACCCGGTTTTCATTCTCGTGTTTGAAATGTTGACTACTGGGCACTATCTCTGTTTCTTCTGTCTCCTCCACACTCTGCTTCTAATACACTGTACATGTATATATCCCCAGGAACTAAACTAAAAATGAAAAGAAAACACAAAAAATACAATGCCCAGGACAAAGAAGGCATGCAACAATTTTTGTTAAATGAATAAATCCAGAGAGTTTGTTTTTGGTTCATCTTCACAATACCAAAAACAAATTAAAATGACTCTCCAAAGAATATTATGGCTCTGTATAGTTTTAAGGTGTTGGACTAAATGATCTATGCAGCTTCCTCCACTGCTACATGGTCCCCTTTACTTTCTGCTAATATTTTATCATCTTCATCTGGCAAATAAGAACATTTAGTGATCAAGGGGTAGGACAACTGCTCTGTTCACAGTGGATGGATGCTAGAATCGATCATTTTTCCAGTAATCATTCCCTGGTATGTGTTTGCACCTACAAAATTTGGTTGATACAGAGGTAGCCAGAAGATATAGTGGATGATATCCTGTTGATGTAATAATTTGCCTGTAATAAAATTATCACAAGATCATTAAACAACAAGGAATGCTGTGTGTTCAGACCATCCATTGGTGATGTACAAATTAATGAGAAGTGAGTTAATTCTGGGCCAGTCTGGATTGCAAATTCCAAAGAAATTATATAGAAAAACATATTCTATTATCACAAGAAGCACTTCTGCATTTTCAAAAAAATCTTCTCACCTTAAACCCCATGTTAAAAGTGTACTACTAATCAAGTTTGATTCCAGGCAGATATTAGGGGTTGAAAAGCAGTACTACTAAATTTATTTTGGAGGCCAGGAATCCAAGGCATCAATAAAAGAATTCTTCAACAACAAAACAAAACTAAAATATCCTGAGTATACAAACATTGTCAATTCATTTGATTTTAATTTCTTTCAGCTCTGTGCTAAATTATGACTGACAAGCCTGGGATTATAGTTCCCAGCTAAGGGAAAATTCTGTCCTTTCATGACATTAACCATAGACAAGAGAACAGCATAAAAAATCTCCGTTAGACATACACATTTAAGCACGAGTATTTCATCTGCTTTGTTGTGCTATCGTATCTCTTCAAAGATCTATGGGTTTTTTGTTTAATGAATGACAAAAGTTTGAGAAGACGATTTGCAATCAACTCATTTTGAAACAGGGATCATTACCCTGTAGATTTCACACAAACTCTGACAGATTCAAATACAACCTGGCTACTGACTATTCGAAAGATTCCAGCATTTGTTCAGAGCTCATATTTTATTAGATTGCATACAAATCCAACTTAAAGATATTAGTTAGTCTAGGAAGAGACTAATTGATGAATTAATAAACTTTTATTTACCCAACCCCAGTTCTAGTGACTTCTAAAAATCATAAGAAAAGTTCAATGGTGTGTACCAGGTACTGGCACACTCTAAAATTTACAAATTAAATACTTAATAATGATGTCTCTGTGGTGTGGTGAACACTACAAACTTCTGAAGATCTTTCATGACAAAGTACAATTGAAAGATTCCATGACCTTAACAGCAGAAAACTTTAAATCATATTTTTAAAATAACAAATAATTTAAGGCTAAAATATTTGGTATTCATAATTAATGCCAGCAGCCTTCCTAGTCTAATAAAGTAAACATGCACAAGAAATACAAATTTGAACAAAACATCACAATTTTTATTAGTTATATGTGTTTGTATGGGTATGTTATGTATGTGTGTATGTGCATGTGTGTGTTCATATGTGTGTAGGTATATACGTACGTAATTGTAGTGCCCTGAAAGCTATCCACTCATGTTTGGCTTAATACATATATTAGAAATTATGGGGAGAATATCTCCACTTCAAATATATATTTATATATCTTTTCCAGAATATTCAATATAAATATGCCATATATAAATCATGCCATAAAACTAAATGCAAAATTTGCACATTATTGCATGCTTGATGTGATAATACATGCCCACTAATAACTTCCTTATGATGACCTCCCTTCATAACTCATAATCTGCACAGTAACAACACTGGAATGAAGAGTTCTCAAATGTACTTGCTGGACTGTGATGGGTCTCTCAATTTTCCTAGGGAGGATTATTTTGTAAGCCAAATATTGGACTAATACTAAATCAAAATCTTAAATAATACCTAAAGAAGTGTTTGCTATGTGAAACGGTCAGAGTTCATTTTCCTTAGTTTGGCTGGAAGATTCCCTTCCATTCTGGCAGGTCCTCCAGCCATTTTTTGAAGCTTTGGTGGCAAATCTGCCACAGACTGGCTCATGGGATCAGATAACATCTTTGTGGTTTTAGAGACCAGTTTTTCCTCAGAATTGCCAGGAACCGAACTTATTCGTTGGAGTTTCATGGGCAAATCACCCAAGCTATAGGCTTTTTCTGAAGTTGTAGAACTCATCCTCAGGAGTTTTTTGGGAAAGTCTTCTCTCCCAGTAATTTTCTGCAGCTTTGATGGAAGTTTTGTGCTAATGTCATCTAGTCCGTCTAAGCACTCCACTGAATTGTGTCTTTCTTTGCTGTTTGTTATGGCTGGTGCTATTAAAGGCGAGGACATGAGAAGCATTTCCTCCTGCTCTTTCACACTGTATGGAGGGGTGGGGACTTCAAATGTTGCATGGAACTGGGAGTAATCAACTTTAAAGAAACCTTCTTCTAAAGAAATTACGGGGAAAAAACGATGACCCCAAAGAACTTCATCCTCAGTGTATGATGTCCGAGCTTGGCAAGTCATCCCTGCAAGTAGAAAGAAACTCTTTGATGAATTATGCAAAGAGAAACTGAAGAAAAAGCAGGAATCCATTCTGCTCACAGATTCATATAAGTAGAGGACACAGTATAAGTCTTCAGAAGTTTTACTCTGTGTTAAAGCTGTACTACATATATTTTCCTCCCATAGAAACACACAAGGTCCTGGAAACGCTCAGATTCACATGACTCATGTTTTATTAGCCACGAAATAAGTCTCAGTCCTACAAAGGATAACTTTAGATCTCATGTCTATAGGAAGATGAGGAAGGGGAATTGATATGATTATATCTGCCATTTAAAAAGCAATGTGATATGTCAAATATATCTGGCTTTGGATGCAACCTGTGCCAGAGTGTAAAGGTAAAAAAGTCAGAAGCTCAAAATGATTTCCAGTAATGTAATGTATGGACACACCAAGAATTTCATGCTGTGAGGAGGGAATAAAAGTCAAATATATAAACACAACAAATTATGTAGTTATTACATGTAATTAGCTCTTTAAAGGGTTAGCAAGGTGAGACAGGATCACCAAAGATCTCTCCCCAAAGTACTTCTTAAATTTACAAAACCAGAAATTTCTGTGATGGATAATGGCCAGTCATTTTGGTAGTTCTACCTTTGTAAATCTATCAGGATAAACTTTGGTAAAAATTGTAAAAATTTTGATGGTAAAATAGCTACTTTGGTTCTTATAATGTATCAATTTCCATTTCAACTCTAAAAAGTTTTGGAAGTCATGATAAATATCAGCTGTAAACTTGTGCTGCTTACATACTATGTAAGCTGAAATATAATGTGTCTCATGGTACCTTGACATAACAATTTTGCTCTCTTCAATATAATTTATTTACATTAAGTTATTACGTAATCGTCCTCTGAATAACCAGGTTTTAAAATGAAGTGAAAATTTAAAATCACACATTAAATCTCAGCTTTATACAAATCACACTGTGATTTTTCTATGAGAATTAAAGTGTTTGCTTCCTTGTGATTTCATTAAAAAAACCTCTCCAACTGGCTATTCAAATGTGAAGTCACAGAACCAATAATTCTCCCTTAGGAACTAAGTATTATCTAATGAGCAATAACCATCCTCCTTCTTTCAGTTATTCACATCACACAGGTGATTTCTGTTGTTTTAAAACACAGCAGAGCACGAGTAAAGGGATGCTGTACCCTTCTGCTGCCTGAAAAGCAATCACACACAATACTTCCAGAGAATTAGGAATAGGATCTGTGATGTGAAATGCCATATTGAAAAAAATTAAATCCTTCATTGGTTCCCTCCAAAATATCGCAAATGGATATTATCAGTTACATATCACAAAGTACATCATACTCGTCATTACATGCCATCTTTCATAAGAGATTAAAACTTTCTAAATGCAGAAAATAAAGATCCGTGTCATGGTAGGCACTGTGTTATACGTCCTGGCTCTCCTTCTTCATCCTCTATAAAATCATGTTAAGGAGATGGGCTCTGTTAAATAGAAACATAGGGTAACCCAGGGCTCAGAGGCATTACATTGTTTGAACTTACAGGAAACTGATTTAATAATCTGCAGAGATAAATGTCAGCATGGTTTTACTATCTCTCCTCTCATCCTGTCATTCATTCTCTCTTTCCCTTCCTCCCCCTCCCTTTCCTTCCCTACTTTTAATGTTTCAGTTATGAGTGTAAACCCAGTCATCACTTTAAGACTGTTATGAAATATACATGCCTGGCAGTGACAAAATCACTATAATAAATACTACTCCAGGAACACTCCCCTATATATTCACATGTGAGGGTAATTAAATGAGTTAAAAAAGATCCTTCTGAATTTTAACGTACTAGTAGAATATCATTTTGTATTCTAGACATATTTGTAATCCACTACTAAGTATTTTTAAAGACAATGTTGCATTTTTACTTCATCATAAAAGATAAAAAGCCACTCATTTTTATTAGAGAAATTTGAAGATAAACTACTCAGAAGAAATAAATATTCTATATACTAAATAATACAGCAAACAATATTAGCAAGCTCTTTGTCTCCTCAAACTAAACCATTTTTGTATGGAACTACAAAATCTATATTTATGAATAAATGCAACAAGACTACCATTTTTGTATTTGATAATCAACTGGTGATATTTCCCCTAAAGCCCTATTTTAATTTAAAACAAATCAACTTTCTTACTCAATTTTTACCACAATCAGGGTTCAGTAAACTGTATGTAAAAGCACCTAGTCAGGAGGTTAGTGTTCTGAAACTTGCATTCTTTGTAGGTTTGTCCTAAAATTTTGTAAATGCCATGGTTCATTAAAAAATCTCAAAGAAATTACAGCTATGAGCACTGTGCAATTCTTTCAAACAGTCAGAATACACACTGAAACATCTGATGACCACCTGCATTGTAGAATACCCTTTTTGATTGCTTGCTTATCTATATTTTGTTGAGGGCATGTTGGTAAAACAGTCACCAATGTGGTCTGTTCTTGCTGACCCCTTACTCTTAATCTCTAATCCATCTCCACAGCAACTCTTGCTCTAGGTCATGTGGTTATACGATTTTCAAGCATACCATGCCCACTGTTTGTGACTTACTCATGCCCTCTCTCTGCTTGTAGAAACAATGGACAATTACTGAGTTAGTGGTTGTCTGACAGTTTAATTAAGGACTTGTAATAATATCAAGCTTTGCCATTTGCACCTCAAAATCTCCCAGACCTGTTATTCTAGGGAATATTGAGTTAGGTTGAATACATGACCTTGATCTATGGTAAATAAAGGATTGGCAATAGGAAAGACCAAAGATGTTATCTGCATTACATTTAACATTCTAAATTTATAATGCTTCTAGAATAAAACACATTAAACAATAACATATACCCTTTTTAATCTGTGAGTCAATGCATGAAACAAATCTTTTTTTTTTCACAAAATGTTTTTCATCCAGAGATGCAGAAGTCCCAGCTATTTCCAGCAGCAGCATCTGCTGCTTCTCCAGTTTCCACAGGGATGAGTGCATGTTGATTTTCACCACATTTGTTCCAGTCTGGAATCTGGTTAAAGCATGCAAACAGTCATCTCGCCAGCTGAGAGGTACAATCACATAGTGTCATTTGAATTATGGTGTTCACCTGCAATTACTTTAATTCACCTGGTATCTTTGGTCATGAATGTAATCATGGATTATTTTTAAATAGTTTTAAATAGAAGAAGTAATGAAAAGATAGAGCATTTTAAAAGGAAGGTTTCTATAATGCATGGATATTCTTAGAAAACTTAATTATATCTACTTTAAAGCTTCTCAATTAGAGCTTTTCATTTTAAGTTTTGGGACACCAATTTGGGATAGATTTTCAAAAACAAGTAGTTTTTCAATTATATCTTGGCTCATTGTCTAAGGCAGAGAATAAGAGTTATAGGTATTTTTCTGTTATACAATAAATAAAATTTCATCATTATCCATATTTCAATTTCAAATTGTCAGGATCCCAAGTTGAGACTAGATTTTCAAACAATGATATGTGGATTTGGATATTCTATAGGTGATCTTACAGGCAATAAATGAATCGAAGGATCGGGAAAAGAGAAGGTAATGTACTGAGCAATTTGCTTTGTTTCAATAATATGAAGTTATAGTAGATTTATTCATTCACTTGCTGGAAATTTAATGAAAACCAAATGTTCACCTTGAGTCTCTAACACAAAATGTGAAATAAAGTCTAAAATGTGGGAACATGACTAATTTAACTTAAAAGGTTTTAGGAAAAAAAAACGACAAAACAAAGTGAATCAAATAATCAAAAAGAAAATAAAAAACAAAACAAACAAACTAAAAGCAGAGACATCATTTTGTGGGCTGGCCATGGGTACTGCTGTAGTGTGTGGTTGATATGACCAGTGACACTCCATTGCAGAAAACTTATTTCCCGTTTACCAGCAGGTATCCATTTCAAATAGTCTCTTGGGCAGTGGTAGGACCCTGTGGTGTCCCCATTTTGATGTTTTTCTGTTTGGTGAAGTTCTGAGAGATATAGAGGTGTGGTTAATGGGGGGAAAGTAAAAGAACATGAAGTTAGTGGGTGTGGATTTTGGAGATCTCAGAGACTATGGGAGCAGGGAAAATGCAAAATTTGTTGAATGAGAAAATTTAAATTAAAAATGTAAATATGTTAATTCTTTATGAGTTGGCAAAAAGTAATTGTGAATGAACCAGTTTTGAACATGAATTTTCTATATTACAAATCTATCAAAATTTTCACTTCCATTCAGACACTATCACAAATTTTCAGGAGCACACCAGATAAAAATGATCTTTATGCCAGAAGGAGAACAGTCGTCGATTCACCAAACACTACACATATTTTCAACTTCTGCATAAAATATGAGAGTTTCCTTTTGTCTGTAGTTCATAAAGTTAGGAGCAGCATAGAGGTTTTCAGGAAAATTTGGAAGCTTGTTAGTTTTACAAATTGCAAACTCCCCTTGTACAGCTCCTTAATACTGTCACCCTTTTTCTGTGATGCCAATCCTCATGAAAGATTGAGATACTTGAGGTACTGTTACACCTTTCCCAAATTCTGGAAGTAAGACTCTGTTAGAGGTAGATCACATAACCATGGGGTGAATGGGGCTGAACTGAAGGAACTGGATTAGAAAGGCATATGTTTTAATTCCTATGTAATACTGGCTGTCTACCAACCCGCACTGTGTAGTCAGGAAAAGGAATAAAAGATTATTAGAAGCATTGGAAATGTAGTCAATGAAAATTCAATTTCAAGTGATAATTTCTGTAAATTAGTGGTCAGGAACAACCAAGTTGATATGGCAGGGACAAAAATGAGACATAAGGAAAGCGATCATTCAGGTGAACACCAAAGTAGCATTGTACAGATCCAGGAAGTATTAACACTCACCCCAAACCCTGTGACCACTTCCCAGGGCTAGTACCTAGGATGCATAACTTTGTTAAAGTACCCACCCTTGTTTTGT